AGCTTTTGGGCCGAGAGACTCGGAGACGAGGGGGAAATCACTCCTAAAACCTGCGACCCGACTATTACGCCTAAAAGGCTCTATTACGCCTCAAATTATAGGGATTTAGCTGAAAACAGACCAAAAAACCCCTAAAATACATCAATTTTTGAGAATTTCGGCTATTACGCTACTATTACGCACACTATTACGTGTACTATTACGGACACAGTGACCCGACTATTACGCGAGTGCTTTCCCCCTCGCTCGGAGACATCAACGCGCGGCAGGACCAGCCGTCCTCTTTTATTTTCACCGCCACCCAGAGAGGAGAAGCGACCGTTGCATAACTGTGACAGTCAGGGGCGGTCTCGGGTTCAAATAACAAAAAATTTACATTTTCGAGATCGTTTATCATGAAAAACAGTGGGCTGTTTTGTGCGCTCGTAAGGCCCATGACTGCACTTTGAGTCATCCCTTGTTTTAGCTCTGGCCGATACAATGAACAGGGGCCGTGCCGTGCCGCCCGCGGCCTTGGCCCTGTGTGTGCGCGTCGGTGAGTGTGTGTGAGTGCCTCACGATAAAACTGTGTTTTGTGGAACCCCCCAATGGCGACAGTTACACGAGTTCAATCCTTGCAACTGTTCAGCCGATGATCACAATAAGACCGCTAAATAGTGAGAGTGACTGAACTGCCAATAATAGTCAGCATGAAAGGACTCGATTAAACTGGCTTTAGTCATAGGCTTGATCGATGGTCAGTCGTCGCGACTAAAGCGTTTAGGTGTGGCACCGAAACACTGGCGATGCGACACTCAACACGGAACTCGCGTTGCCATCGCCCAGCGCAAAGATCGTCAACGGGTGGATCGCGATGGATCGTGCTCGCGAACGTCGGTTCGGGTCGGTTCCGAACCAAACCGAAGCGCCGGTTTCGGCCCAAACCGTTGACCAGCTTCGAGTCCCGGCGGCGCTATAATTTTTTTCGCGATTTATGAGCTGCAACCGCAACTAACATTTCACGGCACATATAAATACCGTGGATATTCTTTTCCAAGAACCTGAAAGGTACCAGAGACCGACAAAAATGCAGGCTTCTGCCGGGATTCGAAGCTGGGCCAGTCGCCGGCCGGGCCCACGCCCGCCAGGGCTTGGCTCGGGACCGACCCGGACCGACGTTGGCGAGCACGATCCAACGCGATCCACCCGTTGACGATCTTTGGCCCAGCGCCGCCATACTCATAACAGTGCGGTAGCTCCGTGCCTGGAGGCTGGATAAGAAGCCGGGTTCGGGGGTTCAACTCCCCGTAGCGCAACCAGTTTCTCCTGGCATAGTATCTTTGTATACTATTGTGCTGCCAGGAGATGGACTGTGGGACACTTGAGACCCCAGGAAAGGGAGCGAGCTATCATTTTCTCGGCGCGTCCGCACACATTCGTCAGTCCAAGAGGCCCATCAATGCCGGCTTCTCTCAGCCAGTCAGGTGGGCGTGTTGGTAGAGCGACGGACTTGTAACACGTAGGTCCGTGGTTCGATCACTCGTTTTTGAGTCGTCTTTTCATCGGTTTACGTTTATGTGTCAGGACTAAACAGTCAATCGTCAGATCTTATCGCATTCAGTCACTGTAACAAGATTTGATTTAGTGGCAGTGGCTAAAATAGACAGACGACATGTTAGAAAAAGAGTACATCTCACAACTAAAGTAGTGCGACTAAACGATTTAAATGTGGCCATCGAACGTTTAATTGAACCCCCAGCGACCAAACAGATTGGTTGTCACAGCTGTAAGTTTAGGTGTGGCCCAAAAACATTTCCCTCAGTGTAGCGCCTCTCAATCAAGCCAAATAATTCCCTCCCGATTCGGACACGTGCTGCGCACTCGCTGCGTATGCATCCCGGAGGCGAAAAGATTTGCGGCCCGAGACTACTCCATCATCAACGAGTCGGCGTACTCTCTGTCTCTCTTGCACTCACAGGGCGTGCCGTATGTGCGCCAGAGGAGACAGAGCGCGAATCAAGTCGGCAGGGCTCCGTGTGCGCGAGCTTGTGACTGTACGCTGGACACAACATGCTTCCGTTTACCGCTGTTCCCAGGTCACCTGCAGTCCTGCCTGCACTCCTGCCTGCACTCCTGCCTGCACTCCTGCCTGCAATCCTGCAGTGCACCAGGACTCTAGAGCGACGCGTCACGCACGCGTCACGCACGCGTCACGCACGCGTCGTCGCGGCGGGGAGGCCCGGCCGGCCCCGCAGTAGAGGACGCGGAGGTGCTAAACCCCGCTACCTTGTCACGCGCGAAACGAAAAGGACGCACTCGTCCGCTGGGGCGTTCCTTTCAGGCGATTCTTAAAACCAGCTAGACTAGCTAGAGTGCGGCAGAAACGGCTCATTGACGGTATTTGCGACGATTTGCGATAAGTACTCTAATAAAAGTAACGGACTCAAAGTATTAAACAACTTGTGCCTATCTGTAGCACTTACTGGCGCCAGCTTCAAAAAATTGATTGAGAAGTCAAAGTCTGTGGACGTCGAGCGTGACAGCGTGTGCGAGGTTTCCCTAGTATGACTATGACACACGTCACGTCCGATGATCACAGTGGTATGCTGGCCCGCAAATCTAGGACTGGCAGCCGGCGAAACGACGACCACCGACAACCCCAGGCGCCCCCACCCCCGGGACACTCACTGCGACGGTTCTCCATGCTGGCGGCCTCGTCGTCGTCGGGGACGTCGCGGAGGGATGCGCTGCTGGCGGACACAAGACGACCGCCGCCGGCCGCGCGTCAGTCGAAACGATGCGAAAATCGTCCGGGGCGCCGATAGTCTACCCGGAGCGGGGCGGCGGGGCGGCGGGGCCCTGCTCCTGCAGTGGGGGAGGGGCCTGGAGCGGAAAGGCCTCCCCCCGTCGGCGTCCCGCCAGTCCCGCCTGGTGGGCCTGCATGGTGGGGGCCGCGGCCGAGTTATCTCCAACCCATCCCGCCGCCGTGCAGGCCGGCAGCCGGCAGGCCGTCCAGCAGGGAGATCAGGGAGCTCACTTCACTCACTCGCAGCGAGTGAGTGACTCACTCCGAGGCAGCTATTTAGAGAGATAAATACGGCTTCGGGAGCCGAAATCCACGGATAAAGTTGGGTACAAAGGTAAAAGTTACCTCCTACTTCACTAAATAGCCAGTTAAATGACCTAAATATCCCGTAGACACGTTTTATTTCATACAATCGAATGAACTCGAAGTGAGTCACTCGCTCGCCGCGAGCGAGCGAGTCGAGCTCCCTGATCTCCCTGCAGACGGAGCAGGAGCCGCGTGCCGCGCCAGCGCTGCGGCCACAGGTGATACGTTTCGCGTCATCGGGGACCCCGCGCCGCCGTGCGGTCCGCCTCGGGGACGCCCCGCCGCGCCCCGCCGGTGATTCACACCGCGGCCGGGGCGCGGAGGGCGTGGAGGGCGTGGTGCCCACGGCGGGGATGCCCAGCACGGCGTGCGCCAGGCCAGGGTGATGCCTGGTGGTCTGGGTGCAGAGGCAGCCGAGTCAGCGCCGCAGTGGGCCAGCCGGAAGGCCCGGGCCCGGCCGGTGGAGGCGGTCAGTATCTCGGATGGGTTTTGAGCTCCAGAGTCGCTGAATGGGACTCGAACCGAACGTGTGACCCCACCAATGGACTGCTCTCCGAACGAGGAATCCATTGGTGGGGCCACACGCTCGGTTCGAGTCCTGTTTAGCGACTCTGGAGCTCAAAACGCGTCTTGAGTTTTGGCCGCCTGCGCTGGCCGGCCGCTCCGTCAGCCTGCGAGGTAGGCAGCCCGTCGAGCTGCTTGCACGCGAGGCGACCGGGTTGCCTACGCTGTCCACGGCAGGCGCTCCCCCGGGTTGGCGGTTTCGCGTTCCCCCGGCTCGCCGCTCGTCCTGGTGGTGCCTGGTAGCAGCGATGCCCCACGAAGCAGCCCATCGACCAAATGATTTGTTTCCCGCCCTACAGCCACTACCGCCTGGACCTCAAGGGCCAGCGCAGCCTGGTGGACGGCAACGACCGGGGTGCCATTCGGGGTCGCTCCCCACAGAGTCTGGCGCCTCGCGAGGGGCGCAAGTGAATCCTTTCCCCGCGGCTGGAGTCGGTGCCGCTGCATCGGCGGGCGCAACCTTGGCGTCCGCGAGCGCTTAGCACGCTCCAAGCTCGCCTCCTGTCTCCGTCTCTCTCGGTGCCGCCCACCGCCGCTCGGACGCAGCCGCTGCGTGCGCGGCCCGGCCGGGGCGAAGCACGCCAGAGCCGGGGCCTCCCCTTCGAGTCCGGCCGGTGCCGTTCCATCGGCAACGAGGACGATGCACGGCCAGCACTCGAAGGTACCCCCCTCGGCCAATGTTGGTGCCGCCCGCCGCCTCCCGGACGCAGCCACTGCGGCCGCGGCCAAGCACAACAAAGGCCAGAGGGCCTCTCCCAAGTGCAGGTTTGAAGGGAGTTCTGGACTCACCTTCGGTGGCGAACGAGCAGGTGGTAGCACCCCTGCCGGGTCGCTCGCACTCCCCGCAACGGACGCTCGCCTGGGTGGCGAGCGTTACCCCCAAGTTACCGACTGACTGCTACTGGCATGGCCTACGAAAACCCTCACATCCAATTCTAAAAAATCGCAGCACGACATAGCGCCTTCCGATCCTTCGCTGCCCCGGGCCACTATGCGCTATGCGCGGAGGCCGGATCAAACTAGAGACTCTCTCTCTCTTTCTCTCTCTCTAAGAGTGCCTCGTCTAATCATGCGTCACCAGCTTGTGTACCACATTCTTGAATTTGGAAAGTGTCAATTGGATGCCAGCAGCGAGGGGCTACGGATTAATTAATCTAGTTTCATGTACAATAAATATATAATTCTTTATTATCAATTTTATCTTATTTTAAATTGAATGTAATTGGAGCTCCAATGCGTTAAACCGCAATAAAAAATAAAATATTTTACATAGTACAAAATAAATATCACAATACATCACAAAAGAAATGGTCCTGGTTTCTTCAAAATGCAGAAAGTTTTAAAAAAGAGTTGACAATCGTTTTTATTCAGAATTGGCCACCATGTACTGAAGAATTGAATTCTGCTTAGGCTTACTTACGAGGTAAATAAAATAAAATCAAATGTTAAATAAATAATATTAAATAAAATTAAAATTAAATTAAATATAATAATAATAAGCATGACTAAAAGCCTCATTCCAAACGGAGGTTATACAAACTGACTAGAGAATTGTCCTAACCAATTGAGAATTGAACCTAACCAAACCATATCAATTGGAAGTGAGCAGGGCGACGCCCCGCTCGTAGAAGCTGTGCTGGTCCTGGCCGGGGGCAATATTGAGGTCCACCGTGAACAGCAGCTCCGTGCGCGTCGAGTTGAGGTACACGGGCAGGGACAGCTTTGAGGAGCGCACCTCGGTGCCGGGCGCCACGCGCACCCAGCGCAGCAGCGTGGTGGGCAAGTCGGTCATGATGGTGGTGGCCAGCAGCAGCTGATTGTTCTTGCAGTTTGCGCCCTGCAGCTTGAGCCCCGTCACGCGGAAGCTGCACTCGTCGGGCAGCTGGCTGGCCTCCTGGCCGTCGCAGATGGTCACGTCCAGAACCAGCTCCTCCAGCGACCAGCTGTTGGCCTGCGCGACGCACTGCCGCGTGGCGGTGAGGTACGCCTCGGGGTTCAGCAGGCCACCCAGCCACACGGGGTGGGTCTTGATTTTCTTGACGCCCTCCGACATCAGCTGCGACACCCAGTGCCGCTGCTGGACGCGCGAGTACAAGTCGACGAGCCACTGGATGACGGTGCAGCCGTCGGGCACAGGGTAGCGGCGCCAGCTGGCCGGAACAATGTCATTCTCCAGGTCGTTCATCATGGTGCGGTGGTAGTCGGTCTGCTTCTTCACGCCCTGGTAGATGAGCAAAGCGTCCTGAAAGTCGTGGACCACGTTGTGAACCAGATCGGCGGCGGAGTTGACTTCGCGCTCGAAGTAGCAGTACAGGGGGTCCTTGGTTGGGTTCTTGACAATGGGCCGCAGCGTGGCCACCTGCTGCTCCAGGAACCTGACCACCTCGTCCACCGACTCGCGCGTCAGGTCCAGGCCCTCCTCGCTGGAGTAGGCCAGCTCGTCGTCGTCCTCCAGTTGCTGCATCTTGAGCAGCTTGCCGACCAGGTCCGTTCCTGGACAGCAGAGACAGAACCATTAAGCCAAGTTCATAGGCAAACACGCAAAAGTTACAAAAAAAAAACCAAAAAAAAACTGAGAAATTTGGATTAAAATTAACTAATTAATTTACAAATGAAAGATGTGAAATTAAATTAGAATGCACAAAATATTCTGCAGAAGTGAGTACATACCTCTTGTGGTGAGCAGAACCTTCTCTGCGTTGTTGGGAAGTCCCAGCCAGGAGGGTGTCTGCCTGTCAGAGAGCGCCTCAATCCAGTGCAGGAAGTGGTCCCTCGTGGTGCCATCAGGCATGGTGATGTGCCGTTGTCCCCCAGGGCCTCCAACTCCATCCACATTGGCGACAAGGGCAAAGTCGCCCTTTAAGCTAGCCGGGGTGAAGAGCTTGGCCAACAACGATTTCAGTAGCCGCTGGTCAAAGTCATTGTCGATCTTGCCTCCATAAATACATTTAGACAGCAGGGTAACTAGGGCATCCCAAGGAACCTCCTTTGGCGGCAAGTTGGTCCTACCCATTGCAGTAGCTTCTATCCAGGTGTCCAGAGTATCACAGGCAACTCTCAGGTCAGATTCATTGAACTCATAGTACTTGGCCCAGCCCAGAGGAACGTAGCGTAGACGTTCCTGGACAATGGCATGGAACCAGGCCAGCAGGAAGTACAGCAGAGGGGCCTTCTTTATGCGAGCAGCAGGCACAGTGCTGAAGGTCCGCAGTAAGTTGGCCTTGATGCCTGGCGGCGGTTCAAACACGAAGATGCGGCCCGCTCTCAGCAAGTTGACCGGCACCTTGGGGTTCATCTCCATAGTGAGGAACAGCCTGAAGCCTGGGTGGGGCTGCAACGAGTGCAACTTCTTCTCGAGCTGCACGAGCCACTGCGGCGCCAGGTGCACGTTCTTGAGCAGCACCCAGCGGCCCGAGCGCACCGCCTGGTTGATGGCGCGGTCGGCCTGGTTGAAGCCTTCGGCCGAGCCGATGGCGATGGCGACGATCTGCTTGCGCAGCTTGGCGACCAGGTCGTCCACCCTGCCGGACGCGTCGTAGCCAGGCACCGAGCACAGCAGGGCCGGCACGTTGGCGCGAAGCTCGGCGTTCACGATGGTCGCCAGGTCCAGCTCGCGGTCCGCCGCCGCCATGAACTCCTCGCCGAGCACGGCGGCCACCAGGGCCTGCCCCGCGGCGATCACCCTGTCGGGCCGGAAGGCCTGGATCAGCAGCAGGTTGTGCATGGCCACGGCCACGGCGCTCAGCTGCTTGTCCTCCTCCCACAGTGCCGGCACGCACTGCTCGGGGGAGCTGTGCTGCAGCCAGCCGGGGAACTCCGGCGAGTCCTTGATCTTCTTGGACAGGTGCTTGTAAGCATTAATGCGCGACGACAGGCGCACCACGGCCTCGATCTGCTCCTGGTTCAGCCCTTCGATGGCCGGCGGCGACGAGTTGAGCATGCCCTCCTTGCCGCGCAGGAAGAACGTGAACTCCGAGTCCAGGCTGGCCTCGTTGGGCACGCCCTTGAGGTGGATGCGGCACAGCAGGATGGCGAAGGTGAGCCGGTCCGTGTGCAGCATGCCCCTGGCCACGCGCTCGTAGCACACGCCAAACAGGTCCTTGGTCACAACGGCCAGCCGCTGGTTGTAGTCAGTCACATTCTGGAGGCGGGGGTTGCTGTGCAAGACGGAGCTGAAGATGTCCTGGAAGAACTGGAGCGAATACTGGTACAGGAAGTGGATTCGCTTTAAGCTATCCATGGTGGAATAGATATTACTGCACGCTTGACAGAGCTGCGAGTACTGTCGAGCCACTATTTCAATCTCCGCAATGACCGTGCCAGTCTCTTCCTCCTTCTGGCTGATTTCAGCAGCCTCCTGCCTCAGCGTTACCAAAGTGGTTATCATACTGTCATCATCCAGAATGTTTCCCGTAGCTTCACTCAGAGTCTGAAGCAGGTCATCTTGAAGCCGCCTCTGCCTCACATGGAATTCGCCTTGAAGCTTCAAAAGGTCAGACCTCTTCTTGTCAATGTCAGGTCTCTCAGCCTTCAATACTTGGTCCAAACACTGACTCTGCAGTGAGCTGCGGGTAACAGTGAAATTGACGAAGGTAACTCGAGAGCAGAGCTCAGGAGGGAATTCCACAGTTGGGTCTCGAGTTGACAAGAAGATTTTGAAAGAAGGTGACCAATCAATGTTTTCATCGCCCAGAGTAATGAGATCACGGCCACCTGTGCGGCGCCACTCTCTGTCCAGCACAGGGTTCAGAATAGGATCATAATTTTCAACATCCTGAAAATAAAAAAAAAAATTTAAAATATTAGGAGTGTTTGATACTGGATAGTTACTTTGTAAACAAGTTAGTTAACTGTCACCTTACCTGGACAAGCAGTGGGTAACCAAATCTGAGAGCAGATTTCAATTCCGCACGGAATGAATCATCCAAGAAAGATGTTTTGGAGATCTTATCTTTTTTATACTCTTTCATTATGAATTCAGAAGCCTGCCCAGATGGGTCAATTATCAGAGGGAAGCGCTGTAAGCGCTTCAACATAATCGCATTTTCCGTGCACAGCTTATCAGTAGGTAAAGAATTGGCCTGCCAACGAAGCCTCACGCCAGGTTTTGAAAGATACTCTGTCATAGCAATATCAGTACGGAATTTCAGGCCGGCTTGCTTAAGATGGTGACACCATTTTGCAAATAAGTTTTGACGATACTGAAAAGAAAAAGAAAACAAAGGTCATTGAACAATAAAAGCAAAACATTTTCATTTCAAGAATTGATTTCCACAAAGACACATACATGTTGGTCAAAATAACCGGCATAGGCCAGGAAGGCAGATGAAAGCAAAACATCTCCAATGATAGTTGACATTTGAGACCTGAACGTTTCCCTTGATGCTTGCCACCGCTTCCTCTCAAAGACAAGGGATTCGAGAAGCTGAGTGGAGCGGTCCACCTTGGCCTGCACATTCTTCAAGTCTGTCTGTAGGGCCTTCGCTTGTGAGGTGAGCTGGTTGTGTTCGTTGATGGATGATTCTACGCTCTGCTCCAGCTGAGCAATTTGTTTTTTTAAATCCTCAGCCTTATTTTCGTTTTTAGATGCTTGTTGTTCCAGAGAACCCAATTCGTCTTGCAGTGGCTTGAGTTTCTGAAGCATGTCTGCATACTGAACCTGTAACATTGAAAAGTCTTAGTACTATTACCCTTCAGAAGTAGACAAAAGAGTTCAGAGGACAAATGTAGTGTTATTTGGAGCATACCTGAGCAATGGCCCACTTCACCAGCTTTCCACAAGCCCGATTGGCATTACGTATTTTCTCAAAATTATAATCTGGCCTACTGAGATACGTCTCATGCATCTTCTGTCTAACAGCATCACTGTAAGATTTCAGAAGAAAGCATTAACGTTAAAGCTCAGTAGAAAAACTTTGTAAACCAGGTAGAAGTTTTAGATATCTTATAATACAAAGCAATGTTTGGAATAAAGAACTAGAAGCAAGAAAAGGAATAGAGGAAGCACATGCTAAAAACGTTGCAAAAAGCCAAAATCGCTTACGCAATATCCTCAGTCTTGAAGTTGGAGACGATGGACTTAAAATCCCTTCTCCTGACAAAAGTCCTGACTGCATTCCAGTTAGTTGCATTCTCTCCCAACAAAACACAGATAGACTCTAAGACCATTGCAACTAGGGCAGATGGATTATTAAAAGATCTGACTTCGTCCAACTCCTTATTATTGATATTCTTCACAGCTATAAAGCAAAACAAAAATAAGCATAAAAAAAATGCAGACATCAAAAGATGGATCGGACAACAAACAGATCAGACATGACAACTGAGTGGAGACTTGCAATAAAGAGATCTCAATTGATAGGTTCAATAATACTTTGTACTGTAGTTTAAAAAAAAGTTGCTTGCAAATTTGAAAGTCAAGAATTTTAAGAACATCTAAATCTATTTATGAAAGGTATGAAAATCAAACAAAAAGTTAAGCTCATGCAAGCAGACAAACCAAACTTATTCATAATCTTTCTTATGTGAGATCATCCGAATTAAAGCTAACTATTGTGTTAATAAAGTTCTCTCTCATTACAACTGAGCGAATGGCACGCCAGTCATTTGTGTTTTCACAAAGCAGGAGGCAAACAGATTCCAACGCCAGCTTTAGGATTTGGAAATTAACACCAGGTGCTGTTTATTTATGGATTTAACAGCTGGACAGTTGTACCACATAAGTAGAAACAAAAGAAGTTATCCCTTCTAGCAGTTAATTCTTCTTACAATGAATGGCTGGCACTAACCTTGCTTGGCATCGATGACTGCAGGTTCAACCTGTGCCAATTTCATCTTCACAGCATCTCGTTTTTCTGAAATGTCCACAGTTTGCCTCTCAATATCAGCCTGGATGTCTTGACTCTCAACCTTTTTCTTTTCAGCCTCCTGCCGATCTTTCTCCATCTGCTCGAGCTTCGCATTGGCCGCTTCATTCATGGCTGCTAGCTCCTACAAGACAAATTGATAGGCATTAAAAGCTAACTTCTACAGTGAGAAAAAGCGCTCATGAGGATAGGAGCAAGTACCTGAGATATAACTTTTGAAGACTTTTGCAATTCTTCAACATGTAAGACAGTCTCTGCAATTTTGTCAAGACCAACATTCAAACGAAGTTGCTGTTCTTCAAAATATGAGCGCTTTTCAGTGTACAGCTTGACAAAATGATGGATAAAGTCCAGGTAATGCCTATCAAAGGAAAGACAATTTATTACACATCCTTTTGACACACCCAACAGACAAAATTGTTGAAAACCCACCTCGGAGTGATGGTCATGGCCCTGCTGCCTCGCTTGGCAAGACTAGCATTAGCTTTGTGGAGGGTCTGATGTACGTACACGCAGGCATTAATCACTGCCTCACGGTGCGAGGGCTGTGCTGGCAGTCCAGTGTGCACAGATGGGAAGGAGTCGGGCGCTTTCCAGCTCGGGCGATCAAGATCGACGGTATTGGTTAACTCCTTGCCCACCTAACAAGAATTAAATGGACGTCAGTAAAAAGGGCCATGAAAACTGGAAGAAAAAATAAGCCAAGACTTGAAATGATCACGTACCTGGAACATTGTCTGCTCAGACCAGTCTCCGAGCCAATTAATAACACACCTATTAGATAAGGCAGGTGATGTGGCGGCGTGTTCTTTTAAGCTCTCAGATGATGTGTTCATTGTAAATACAACATGCAAGTTGAGCATCACTTGGCCAGTGAACCACTTGAAAAGATCCTCGTTTGATTCAAACGTACGGCCTTCCTTCCGGGCACCCACTTCGCACAGATTCATCAGATCATCATACTCACTACCTGTACCAATAATGTGTTTAAAATACAATGTACAGTTTGGTTATAAAAGCTGCAAAACTGCATGGGCTGTATTTACCTGTAAACAGTCCAGGAACTTCTCCATTGGTAAGAAGATTGTTCATTCTTTCCAAGAATCCTGAATCTAGCACATTAGATTCATCTATGATGAAGGCAATCTTTTCCTTCTCACAGCCAGAGCGTCTGAGCACAGCACGCAAATCTTCATCAAAGTCCTCACCAGTGTACTTGTTGTGAACCTAAACACACAGAATAATGTAAGGAAGCTCATGGGATGAATCATGCACTTAAAAGATTAAAAGTATAACAGCAAATACCTTAATTTGGAAGATAGAGAGGCCATTCATCCAAGCAACAAATCTAGAGAGAGTGGTCTTGCCTGCACCAGAAACACCAATGAGAAGCAGATGCCCTTGAGGTTGTTGGAAAATTCTGCCAATGCACAAAACATGTTCTAGCAGTGAAATTTGCAGGAAGCAGATTACAATTGATTGAATACTCCATGAAATACTCACTAATATTATTTTCAGTCTTGGATTCCATAATAGTTTCTTTTGTGAGATCCAAAAATAGTAATTTTCCAGAATCTAGTAGAACTACAAGAATCTGCAGTGGAACAGAACATTAACAAATATACAGTCAATTATACAAGATAGATAAAATTGGGAATCAAGATTGATGCATGTGAATCAATTATTAATCACACATTCTAACCTGATTAGCACCCGAATCAAATGCTTGGGGCAGAAACTCCAAATGTTCCACTTTGGAAACATAGTCAGGTAGTAGTATCACTCTCTGGCAGTCCCAATCGTCAACGGTAAAAATGACCAATTGCCTCGATGCACCACCAAGAACCATGGCTCTACCATTCCTGAAAGTAAGTAAAGAAAACAAAGAGGGTCAAACAAGCTACACATTCTCCATTGTCTGGGTAGAAGCTTTAGAATAATGCTGTATTACCTTGTAAATGCCAGGCTTCTGATACTGTCCCCTTTCCAAGTGTCTGGAACAACTTGCTTGACACATTGAAAGGACGGAAAGCCCCAGATATGTATGGCGTCATCTTGAAAGCAAGCTAGAATGTTGTCCGATATTGGCATGAATATGGCCTGAAAGCGAAGAGAAAATGTAACCAGCTGGTGAGGATACAAGCAATGCAAGCAATGCCGAACACCAATGACAAACCTGCTTTATTGCCATGCCCGGCTGCAAATTCAGACGATGCGCTTGCGTTAGAGTCTTTAAATCCCATATGAAACCCTCACAACTAGCCACAGACAGGCAGTAATTTCCATCTGAGCTGAATGTGACCTTGGTAGGAGCTTCCGTATGTCCACTCAGAGTGGCAAGGTGACGTCCAGTTTCTGCGCAAACATAGTGAAAGTGACAAACACAACAAGGTTAGTGAAATTAAATCTTAACCATCAAAGAAATAATTTAAACTTTGAACTTCCACTACCTGTGTTTAAAAGGAGCAAGCTGCATTGCTTTGTACCAATTACGAGTTCGCTTTTCTTGTGACAGTGGAATGACAAAAGCGACAATGAAAATTGTTTACCCAATGGCCAAAATCTAAAATGGAAAATTATGAATACACTAGCCAAAGACCTAAAAAAAAAATTAAGACGGAACTGTCAATACTCACACACTGTTGGTCAAGTCAACTACAAATATGTTGCCTCTGTGGTCAGCAACAGCAAGTAATTCGTCGCAACAGCTATCACACTAGCGATTCCAGACGACGTTGCGTTTGGCGTCGACGTTGCCGTTGCCGTCTCGACCAATCACAGCGCAGCAGCTCGCCGTTGCTGTTGCGGCCGCCAGAATAGCTGCCCGGCTATTTTTCCCAACGGCAGCAGCAATCGCAGCCAATCACAGCACAGAACCATGTCACGTGACGGGAACGAATGCGCGCGCCAACACAAAGTCCCGTTGTGCCGCCATCGTCTGCTGCTGCAAGTTCGCGCCTGTTTGGTGGCTGTAGTTCGTGCTCTGTGTTAAGTGTTAGTTTATTATTATTTTAGTGAAAGTTCATTGTTATTTAGTGTTAAAGTAGTCACGTGAAACATGCCACCAAAAAAGGACGCGAATTTGTGGCCAGCGGACAAGGAGCACGAGCTAATACAGCTCGTGGAGTCTCGTCCCTTTCTCTGGGACTGTACTCTGGAAGGGTACAGAAGAAGTGACCTAAAAATACAGCTTTGGGACGAGATTTCACTTGCGATGGGTGCAACCGTCTACACCGGTAAGTTTTCTTGCTCATCTAACCCTGCCATAATGTCCATTTACTGAACTCCTTCTGTCTGCCACTGTTCCTCATTCTGATAAGTTCTCCCCGTTGTTTGCTCATTGCAACAATCTATTTCATTCTTCAGATTTTAAAGACAAATTAAGTCGCACAGTTTTGTTGAAATTTATCCTCTTTTTCTTGCCTCATGTTTCCTTGCGCCTCGCTAACCCTACACACCGTAGCACCTGTTTGCTGTGCTGCGCAGGTGTTTCTCCTCAGGTTTTCTTATTTTGCTGTTTATTTTCAGTGACAATTTTAAAGGATCGGTGGAAAAACATGAAGGACACCTTTTCCAGCAACTGGAACAAGGTGAGCTCATCGAATAAGCGGTGTAGTGGCAACGGGACAGATGACATGTATGTTCCAAGGTGGCCACTGTACTCGAAGTTGATGTTTTTAAAAAAGACTGTGGTCAGTGGATCCACAGTCAGTAACATAAGTAGCACTGCTTCTTCCATCGCTGCTTCAAGCGCAGCAGAGGTAGCGTCAACTTCGAGTATCCTTGAGGGGATACAAGTGTATTATGATGAAGTGCTACAAGTAAGTATCCAACATATAGAATGTGAATTCCTGCCATTGTTTTGATAAAAGTAACAGCATGTCAATTGCTTCTTTTTGCAGAAATTTGTACAAGTACCCCCGGATGCTACTTTTGAACTTGTTACTGAGGTCACTAGTGAACCTCAAGATGTGTCCCAACCACAAACAGCTCAACAAAATCAATCAACTCCAGTTTCGGCCTCAGCAGCGGCCTCACCCAGTACAGGAGAGCTCTTCTACAAGAGAGGAAAAAGAAGAGCCTCTCAGATGAGTGAGGTATTGTCTCTGGCAAAGGAGCTTGTCAAACCTTTGCCAGAGCCAACTCCTGTAGTAAATGACTCTGCTGCTAATCTGGGGGCGTACATTGCTGGGAGGCTCAGGGACATGAGCCCTGACAGGCGTAAAGCCTGTGAAAAAGATTTGATGAGTGTTCTGATTAATTATTAGTCTTATCGTACCTTATATTATTCTACTTAGTGCTGCACTATTTTCCTTCTTTTATTTCAATTTTTATGTCTTTATGACGTTATGTGGGATGTTGCCGAAGCTTTTAAGAATTTAGTCTTTTTAAAATTTTGTTTGGTTTATGTGTTTTATTTATGAAGATAAAATTTCAGTTCGTAGATATTATTCTTAAATTTCTAATCTTAAAAAATTTTGTTTGGCATTTCTTTGTGTTTTCTTTTGAAAGTTGATTCTCTGGTTTATAATTGGCTGTTAACTTGTTTTCTTTTTAAGTTGAAAGTTCAGTTTTTATTTAGTTAAAAATATAGATTTCAGTTTCTTTATGAGCTAAAAATGTACTCTGCAAAATTTTGTTTGGCTGTTATATTGAGTTTTTATTTAGTTAAAATATAGTCTTCAGTTTTTATTAAGTTCAGAATGTAGTCTTTACCAAATTTTGTTTGGCTGTTTTATTGAGGTTGTAACTTAAGTCTTTGTGATTTTTTTAAAACTTGTTTTTCTCTTACGGGTACGTAATGCATATTTAGTCTGTGAAATCTAAGTCACAAGTTGTGTGTTTTGTTTGTCACTAAATGTTTTGTCACAAGTTGTGTATAGTTTTACACTAAATTGTAAGTCATATGTTTCATGTTGTGTTTCTTTTGTAAGAAATCTGGAATGCAAGTTTGCATTACCTGTATACTTATGTTACTTTTATTATGCAGAACATAATAATTGTTCCGTCCAAAGATTTAACCAACAAAGACTATCTCTATTGGGCAAGTATTCCTAATTTTAAGTTATACCAAATGATTTAGAAGATTAGACATAAGTGCCATGTTTCGGTTATGTTCCTTGGAAGTTATTAGTCCAAATGTTTCCTTCCAATTGATTGGCTGACTGATCTCTCAAATGCCAATCACGTTACTCTTTCTTCAGGTGGGGAGAACAAATATTGTTTGTTGGTATGATAAGTGTTGCCATTTTAGTTTTAAGAAAGATAAATATTGTCCATGACTGAGTATTTTTGAATTACAATTTTCTTTCCCATTTATGTTTGAAGTTTCCTGTTGTCCTAGTATATTTTACCCCACAGAAGGGCAGAAATGATGAGGCTCATATGTTCACAAGCAACTTTACTGTTAAACCTTACACAAACAATAGCATGTGTTACAATACTTCTCAACGCAACATAAATAAAAATATATAGTTGGGACTTTTCACTTAAACAGCACAAGAACACATAGATAAAGTACATACTAACATCAACAAAGTAATACTAATAAGAACTATGGAGCTGGAACTGTCACCATCCTCTCCTGCCATGGTACTGCACCTACTGTATTCATGTACCCAGACCATTGATCTCTTAAATTCAAAGCAGCATCAGCATGACGGTTGCCACCTTGATTTACAAATCTTACTAAACCATTAACCTGCACATCCCTGTACTCGCCTCGGGTGACAGTCCCTGTCAAAATGTCTTCATTATCGAGCATTTGATAGGGGGCATATAAAGCCCGCCCAACTACACTTGACCGTAAGTAATTGTGGAGACACATGATAGCAAGCATGACCTGATTTGCATCATCGGGATCATAACGCATTGGTGCTCTCAGGATCTGAAACCTCGCTCCCATCACACCAAAGGCATTTTCTGAACAACGACGAGCTCTACTCAACCTGAAATTTGGTACAATGAGGATTTAGTGCGTGGAAATTTTTTACGTGACATCACTTAAGTTACCCTATGAAGCCACACACCTGTAGTTGAAGATCCTTCTGTCCCGTCGATTGTGACAGGTGTCCTTAGGGTAGGGGATGAGCAGTTTCTCTGACAGGGTAAACCCTTCATCCCCAAGTATTACATATGGGTAGTCTTGTGCCGTTCCTGGTAGTGGTGATGGTGCAGGAATGCAGCTGTTGTCACTTTCTATGTAAGCTTTCAAAGTGCATCTATTCCAAATGCCTCTGTCGGATGCTCTACCATTTGCCCCCGAATCCACATACACAAAACGTAAGTCAGCGTCAACAAGGGCTAATAGTACAATACTGAATGTTTGTTTATAGTTATAAAACATAGAGCCAGATTTCACAGGTGGGTCAATCCTGACATGTTTGCCATCCATAGCACCTATACAGTGTGGAAAATTCCACCTCTCAGCATAGCCTCCAGCTACCGCTTCCCATTCCTCTTGAGAAGACGGAAACCTCAAAAATTCAGAGGAGAGAACCTCTGAAATTGCCCGCACCGTCTCTTTGATAATGCCAGAAATTGTACTTTGACCTAGTCTATAATTAAGCGACAAAGACTCTTGGGTTTCACCTACACAACAGAAAACAACAAAATATTGATAGAGATAAAAACTTTTCAAAATTGGAAAGTAAAAATTAATGTCACTAATATTTGGTTTACCTGTTGCTAGATGTCTTAAGGTCACTGAAAGCCTTTCAGCTGCACTTATACTTTTTCTTAAATGAGTATCTTGCTTCACTATGAGTGGTGAAACTTTTTCAAGCAGAAACTCAAAGTTGGCGACATCCATTCGCAAGCACCTAAAAAATAAAAAAATTAAATTGTGACCTGGTTTTGTTAATTTGTGGCACAAATTGTAAATTGAGTGCGAAATAAATTAAATAATGAACACACCTGCGGAATTTGTTAGGGTCTTCTAACTGTAGCTCCATGAAAAGGTTATGGTGGAAACCTTTCTCTGTCCTTCTTGCAACCCAATTCTTTACCCAAAACTCTCGGTCCGCTCGGCTATGGGATGCAATTAAAAGAAGAGCTGCTACTGCCCTCCGTCTCCTCAGTACATTACGTCTATGCCACATAATATCACGATTATGATTCATTCTGCTAGTTTGTTGTTGTTATTCCGATCAGCTGGCGGGGGCGGGAGCAACACAAATCTCACTGCCTTGTGTCAATATTTCACACGGCTTGGATCGTTATTTGTGTAGGATACAAGGCAGCGACGTAGGGAGAACCGCAATCGCAACGGCGCAGTCTGATTCGCTGAGCGGCAACGGCAACGGCAACGACGACCGCAAACGTCGTCCGGAATCGCTAGTGTGATTCCACCAAACAAGAATCTGGTGCGTCTGATGTCTCCCGTAGGACCAGGAGCCGTGTGATGAATTTTCAGAAGGAGCCTATAATAAAAAGCACGACAGAAATAAAAATACTGGTTTACGATATCCAACGATATCTATTCAGGGATTGTGTGAGAGACTCACCCATCTGACCGATTGGTTGTTTTCGTATACGGCTGTTTGAAAATCCGAGGCTTCAAATCTGACACGGGCTCCATGACCAAGCTGTCAAAGATGTTGTCACAACTTGGTTTGCTCTAACTCCTGTCGTATTGACTGAGCTTTGCAGGTTAGTTTCACACGAGTGGAATGTTTTCCTCTTTTCTGTTCGAAGGACGTGATTGTATGGCTGCAGTTAAAATCTGTGGTTCCCTCTCAGCATTTCGTGATGCTGTAGTACTTTCGAGGTGCACGGTTCGCGTGGAGTCACCTCTCCTTCGTGTGTGTAGTGTGCTGCGGCTTTGCGGGTTTTGTCCTTTCGCTGAAGTTCTGTTTGATTTGTATTGCAGGTTTTCTGAGCTGAGCTGTGCTCCTTGTTTTTGAATCTTGTGTACCTGAAATGGATGATAATGTGCGTCGGATTCTTCGGGAGTGCCGTGTTGAAGATTACATGGACAATTTTCGAGGTACGTGCCACTCGAAAGACTGCGTCGCAGATACTTTTTCTTGGCGGCACCATGCCAACTCTTTATAGTTTTGAAAGACGCGTTTACTTAGGTTTCTGTAATTTATTTGCGGCATCTCGCTTCGGGAAGAGATCCCGTCCGCGTTTTTGTTTCTGAGGCGCTATTGTGAGGTTAAGCGGCCCAGGTACTTTGCAAGCTTGTTTCAGTTCTCTTTAGTTGTAATGTCGTCTTCTATTGTCAGATCAACAGATTCATACAGAGGCACTAGTTGACTTGAAAGATCACATGTTAGGCCAGCTCGTACCTTGCAAGCTTGATTCAGTTCTCTTAAGTTGTGATGTCTTCTTCTGTTGTCAGATCAACAGATTGATACTGAGGCACTAGTTGGCTTGACGTATCATATGTTAAGTCAGCTTGTACCTTCTTTTGGTCCAAGGATAAGGCTTTCATCAGCTATAGAGAAGTTTAAGGTACCACTTTAAATGTTGCCCTGTTTTTTCTTCCAACTCACTCATAGATGGTGTAGGCTTTATTGATAGTGAGAATTAGTCCCCCATCCCCATTAACCTTTCCGTTGTTAGCTCTCCTTGTCTTGGTTATGGCTGACACTTTTGTTCGACATTCTGTCAGTTCCCACTTGCTCGACAGTAGCTCCACTTGCAACTTTTGCATAGCTGTATATAACCTAGACTAATTTTTAATTTTATTTTATTTCAGGCTTCTTCTAGTTTGGGACTGGAATCATCATTCCAGGCAGGTGTTCGCAGTACATCCTCACCAACATCTCGATCATCTGATCGTGCAACCCCACCTTCAACATCCGGATCATCTGATGGTGCATCCTCACCTTCAACATCTCGATCATCTGATGGTGCCACCCCACCTTTATCACCTCGCATTCCACAGATTTTTACTGAAGATGATGGTGGGGAAGATGCTGATGATATCATTCATGTCAACATTGATCAACAACCTCCAAGCACCATCTCTTGGGAAAGTTTGCGGGCAGATCCTAAACCCAATGTGAGTATTTCTCATGATTGAGTAACATTGTTCAAAGCTACATGTGAAGTCAGTTCTATTATCTTGGTATTTTTTCGGTGTGCAGGAAGTGGTGAAAGCGCTTTTAAGTAGAAGGTCCGATGCTTTGAGAATTCTGAACAACTATCCTGCCTCCAAGAAAAGATTCCGTGTGAAGAAAGGACTTAAAAAAGAAAAAGACTATGTTGGGCTCGACTTGCTGCATCAGAAGCTGCTATGTGATGTAATAGTCAAATACTCTTTCAAAACTCCGACTCGTATCAGGTAATGCATTGTTCAGCTTGTTTTTTGTAATTTTTTGTAATTTATTGATTTAACATGACATGCCTTTCTTGTTCCAGCAATGTTACAGATAAAGTAGAGAGCTTAGCAAACTTCATTGTGGAAACTTTTCCTCGAGAAAGGAAGGTGAGGTGGCTTGTTTTTGGTTTTTTAGTTGATTCATTGTGGGCTGCTGAATAACATTAATGGTCGTTTTCTTTTCCTATCCAGGCCCAGTATTATACCCCTTATCGATCGGTAAAAGTGGATGGAAAGGTTCTGAAACGCCATAATCCTAAAGGAAGACTCTACCATAAGTTTACAAACTATTTAAAAGTATTAAGAGAGGATTATGTCACCACTGGATCATCAAACACAGAGTCTAGAAACACTTCTGTCCCAGGTAATTAGTTATGTGTCTACTATTTCTTCACATTCGAAGTAGCCCTTTGCAAGGCTGAAGCATATGAGATTGATAGTTTTTTTTTGTTTTGTTAATAATTTCCAAAGATTTCATGCTTTTGAAAATAGTTTTAACTTCTGTATTTGTGTTTCTATTCATAAACTTTGCTCTTGAATCAAGGACCGTTTCTTATAATTGTTTATGGTGTTTGTTCACAGAATTGTCTGCTGATGTGGAAGGAAGTCTGGAGCGGCTTAAACGGAGAGTAGACATCTGTTCCCGATTAAAGCTAGAATGTAACTTGACAAGGGATGCCAGAATTAATACTCTTCGAAATGAAGTGGATAGCAGAAAGGAGAACTATCTGACAAAGTACATCCACACACTCTACCCTTTTTTGGCGCAACCTGAAGGCTATCTTCTGGTACGTGAAACGTGCATTTCAGTTTTACAAAGTGTGCTCTCCCTGATACCTTGTAACTTACTTTCATTTTAATTCCTTGCAGCTTGAATCTGATTTTGATGCTCTGTATCCGGACAAGAAAAACTGTCTCTTCATGAGCTGGCCGTCTCTAGCGGAGAGTATTAAGAAGTTGGCTGGCGTTCCAGATCACGGTAAGTTTCTTTTCAATATTATTTTTTTATGTCTTTTAGTTCTAAGTACTTACTTTGTCCCATTTCATTTCCAGACTTGACTGATGCTGAAATCCTCTATTTACTTGGGGATTTGTTTGAGGAGGTGGGCCTTACCTCAGTGCCTGTGACACGGAAATACAGAGCTGGAAAGCAGGAAATGTTGAGGTCCTTTCTCTTTCATGTTGAGGTAAGTCTTCATGTAGTGGATTAATACCTCAGTGATTAACATTTCCGCTAACTTACTTTATGTATCTTTGTCAAATGCATGTTTTTAATAAACTTGCTCTTTTACAGTTTGTTCAAGATATTCAGAAGGAAATTGATACATTCGAGTCCAAGGCATGTCAAGACAAAACTACTGTTCAACCATACGCCATTTCTGTTGGTCCCTGGCCTCAACCTACCCAATTCTACATTTTGTATGATGGAGTGTTGCAACGAGTGAATAGTGTCAGAGACTCAATTGATTTGACCTTCAAGATCCTTCATGCTCAGTACCCGAGGACTTCAGAGTGCTATTGGCTGCTTCTCCAGAAACTTGTGTATGAGTTAAGTACTCCCTGGGACTCTGTGATTCCTGAAGTTGACTCTTTGGTGGACAAGTTAACTGAGTGCTAGTTAAGTTCTTGTTGTATGGTTGGAGTTCTGTGCAAGTTGCGCCTTTATACAAATTATTTACTGTATTGCATTGGTTACAATTAGTCTTAGTCACAATGCCGTGTTGCCCTGATTGTGGAGTGTCATTTGTGTCAATCAAAGGAGTGGACATCCATCTTCGTGTGTTCCATCCATCAGTAGATTTCTCTAAAGTTATGAAGTGCAGGACTGAAGGGTGTCTTCGTCTCTTTTCTGGGTGGAAACTCTTGAGGAGGCATTGGATTCGAGATCACAAGTTTCCCTCTCATGCCAGTATTTCCAAGAGCTCTAGCAGCAAAGAGCAAAGGAAGAAAGTTAAGGAGAAAGAGTCTGAATGTCCTGAGCAATACCCTGAAGCTGAGCCAAGTGAAGGAAATTTTGTTAATGATTACAGTCTTCCTGAAAATGTCGAAACTTCAGATAATTTAGAAAAATTAGCTCTATCCAATGCCTCAACTTTTTTAACTAAATTCTATGCCAATCCTAGAATACCCAGAAATCACATTCAGGATGTAGTTTCTCATGTTAGTGCTTTCCTTAAGAATATTATATCTTATCTAACACCATCTCTGTTTGAAATTATGACAAATAATAATCTTGATAACAATCTAAAAGAGTCAAATTAATGATTTGCTGCAAATTTTAGTGCAGCCATTTGAGGGTACATTATCCACTGAACATAAGAGATTCAAATATTTGCTAGAGACTGGTAGTTTCATTGAGCCTGAAGATTACATTGTAGGAGATAGGTTGGATGATAAATATGCTAGAGGCCAAATGTCTAAGAAGAGAGTCAGTGTTAAAGGAAAGTATGTCCCAATAAAAAAGATTATGGAGAAATTTTTTGCCCTTCCTGGTGTTTATGATAAAGTTATAAATTATCTGGAATACCTAGAGAAAGAGTACGAGTCAGGTGTAATATCTAACTTTATGCAGTGTAAGCTCTGGAAACTGAGGATTGTTAAATTTCAAGGTTCTGATCTCTTGGTTCTCCCTCTATTCTTGTACTTTGATGATTTTGAAGTGGGAAACGCCCTCGGCCCACATGCTGGTCTCTATAAGCTTGGAGGCGTTTATTTCTCAATGCAATTTTTACCTCCTGAATTTCAATCTTCAGTAGAAAATGTATTTCTAACTTTGCTTTTTCATTCCTCTGACAGCTGTTCCGGAGGATGGCAACTTCTATGTATTTCAAAAATTAATTGACGATCTGAATGCACTAGAGGCTTCGGGTATCACTATTCCAATTGATAGTAACATGGTTACTATTCATTTTATTGCTCCAATCCTGTTAGCTGATAATCTAGGATACCATCAAGTGTTAGGATTTGCTGGTGGTTTCACAGCCAACTTTTATTGTAGGTTTTGTAGGAGTCACAGGAGTGACATGCACCACATGCTCGAGGAGTGTCAATCAGCCTTAAGGAAACCCTGTGAATATGAAAATGATGTTGAGTTGGGTTTGGCCATGTCAGGGATTAATGAGAATTCAGTTTGGAACTCTCTAAATTCATTTCATGTGTATGAGAATTTTTCAGTGGATATCCTACACAATTTACTGCTAGGTGTATGTAAAACTGATATGTCATTAATCCTTCATCATTATGTGTGTGTTAAGAAGACACTTTCTCTCCCAGTTTTGAATTCCAGAATGAAATCTTTCAACTATGTAATTAATGGTTTTGAGAACAAGCCTCCTGTTCTCTTACTTGAGGACATCAAGGAATCCTAAATTTCGATGACTGGTTCTGAACTTTTAAATTTTTGCCTGTTGTTTGCTTTTCTTGTTCATGACTTGCTGGGACCCAACTTTCAAGATGATCCCCATTGGGCTTTGTATTTAACTCTAAGAGGGATTCTTGACATTGCGCTTGCTAAATCTTATCAAAAGGAATGTCTTGATGCTCTTCGAATCCTTGTGCGAGAACATCATAGAATAAGGGTGATACAGCTATTGTCACATTTGCGTTGCAAAGACCATTTTCTTCTGCATTATTGTACCGTCTTAGAATATTCTGGTCCTACTGCTCACCTATCTACTAGCAAGTTCGAATCTAAACACAAAAAGTTAAAGACTATTGCTAACAGTTCTAGTTCACGAGTCTTTGTCTGTCATACAATAGCTGTTAAGGAACAGCTTGGATTGTGTTTTCGATTTGAAAGCGGTAGAGGTTTGGTGCTCCCGTTAGAATCTGGCCCTTCTGATCATGTGCAAACCTCATACATGGATGGATCTTACCTCTACCGGCATTGTTTGCCTAATGAATTTAAGGACTTCAGTGACATTGTTCCCTGGGTGGAGTTGCATGGCATTTGTTACCACAAACTATCTTTTGTGGCTGTTGATAACAATGACCTCTATCCTTCTTTTGCTCAGATCCACCGAATATTGTTAAGTGAGGAGTTCCATGCTTGCTTTGTTTTAAAATGTTTTGAAACAAAGTCTTTTGATGAGAGCATGCATGCCTATGTTGTTACTGAAACTTCCAAATTCATCTGTAAATATGTTCATGAGCTTTGGTATCCATTCATTGTCATTCATCTCCAAAAAGCAAACAGAAGTTTTATAACTTTACGTCAAATGATCTAGTTTTATACCTGTGACTCGTAAATATGTTTTTATCAAATGTATTTTTCTAATGCCGTTTTGGTGCATGTGCATTGTTGTCATATATATTTGCATGTGTATTTTCATGCAACAATAAAGTAAGTGGCATTTCAGTCATCTGTGGTTTTCTTTCATGCCCAGCAATATTTTTCACGAGCAACCTTTTTACGAGCAATATTTTTTATTTACGACCATGGTAAGGTTTACAGTTATGTTTATTTAAAGCAACAAATATACATAGTTAAATCTACCAGCCGGGAGGGCGGGCGCCACAGTAACAGTTACCAGAATTCTGGTAATTTTTACCAGATGGCCGCTAACTAGGCAGTGTGGTATTTGGTACTAGAATTCTAGTTGGTTCCTATTTTACTACACATTCTAGTAAATGGCACTAGAATTCTGGTTGGCCTAACTAAACTCGGGGTTGGACTGGTTGGACCCACGGGGGCGTGGGCGGCGGGGGCAGCGGCTCCAGCGGGGGCGGCCGCTTGAGCATCTCGGCCTTGTCGTGCAGGTACTGCGGAACAGGGGGAGTCGGGGTCCGGACCGCGCGTGTGACCCCACCAATGGATTCCTCGTACGGAGAGCAATCCATTGGTGGGGCCACACGCTCGGTTCGAGTCCTGCTTCACGACTCTGGAGCTCAAAACGCGCCTGGGATTTGTGCGCCGCACCTTGAGCCTGGTGGCCTCCTTGGCGCCGGGGCAGCACACGGGGCGCAGGCTGTAGCCGGGCACGGCGGACCCCAGCGGCACGGGGTCGCGGACGGCCGGGCGCACGAACCCGCAGTGCTCGCCGCAGCCCGTGCGCCTGCACGCGCGCTGCAGCCCGCCGCGCTTCAGGCAGCGGCACTCGGAGTAGAAGGCGCCCGCGCGCAGCTCCGAGGACTTACAGGGCTTGAGCGGGGCGGGCGCGTACGGCACCACGGCCGTCTCCTCGCACTGCGCCGTCCGCGCCGTCACCCTCGGCAGGCTGGTGGCCGCGCCGCAAGGCTTGGGCCCCTGGGGGCACGGCCGGCAGGGCTCGTCGCTCGCCACCCTGGCGCCCGCGGATTCGAGGGTAGGCAACACGGTGGACAGCCGTGCAGTGGTTCTGCCCGCACGGCAGGCGTTCGCGCACGCGCAGACGCGCAGTGCGTCTGTTAGCGTTGTCGCGGCTACGGCGTGGGCCGCTGCGATTGCTGCGGTTGCTCTGAATTCCCGGTCTGGCCGCGGGCAGGTTGACGGGGCCGAACGGAGCGGCGCCGCTGGCACCAGCGCCTCCGACCACACAGCTGCAGGCCCTACAGACAGTACAGCAGTACAGCCAGCGCAGCCGGCCAGCCTCGCGCTGCTCGATCGGCCTTGGCGCGGCGGCGTGGCCGCCGGGCTGTGGGCATCCGCAAAGATGTTGTCGGAGTCCAAAGTGACAGCCATGTATCTTTATTCAAAGAGCATGGCTATGTCTTCGGGCACGTCCCGCCCTGCCCCGCTCCGCGCCCGCAGCCAGCTTTTTATCGCCCTTTCACCCGCGTACGCTGTTTCGGGATGCCCCAAGAGTGCGACAGACGCTAACCGTCTTAACGCTGTCTATCCATTTTACTCTCAGATATCATGAGTGAGCCCAAGAAAGCGCGCAAGTCCTACAGGCGGGTCCTGTGTCCCATGTGTGTGGCGTACTCGCCGACAGAGAAGGATATGGTTTTCCATCTCAGGTCGAAGCACGCCCTAACGGAGCAGGACGCACTCAAGGCGGTCACCCAACGTGTGAAGGACATGACGAAGGGACTGTTGTCATTCACACCCCATCACCTTTCGCACGTGCCTTGAGAGCCCGGGAGCCCGGCCCGCCTGTCCACAAGCCGGAAGTGACACCAAGTGCTCGCGGTGGACGATTTTGGCGTTAGAAGCGGTTAGAAGTTGTTGCTCGCGAAGGAGAAAAAAATCCCAAAATGGGAAAAACTCCAAATGCACGTAACGAATAATCCGTTGCACGACTCTGAAAAATGTGTATTCCGCCAAAATTTACAGACACAGTTGGGTTGGTAATTAATGTCTTTTTTGATCAGCGTGAGCAGGCGAGCAGCGGGCTGCATACAGTGCAGGGGCTTCTCGTCTCTCTCGTGTGTCTCTCTCTCTCTCACTCTCTCTCTCTCTCTCTCTCTCTCTCTCTCACTCTCTCTCTCTCTCTCTATCCCTCTCTCTTTCTCTCTCGTCTCTCCCTCTCTCTCTCTCTCTCTCTCTCTCTCTCTCTCTCTCTCTCTCTCTCTCTCTCTCTCCCTCTCTCTCCCTCTCTCTTTCTCTCTCGTCTCTCTCTCTCTCTTTCTCTCTCGTCTCTCCCTCTCTCCCTCTCTCTCTCTCTCTCTCTCCCTCTCTCTCTCTCTCTCTCTCTCCCTCTCTCTTTCTCTCTCGTCTCTCTCTTTCTCTCTCGTCTCTCTCTCTCTCTTTCTCTCTCACTCTCTCTCGCGCACGTGGACGAGGTGGTCGTCATCGACATCACGACAGAAGCAGACAGAAGCCCGCCGCCGCCCGCTCGCCGGCACACTGCTTCCGAGAGTCGTTTCCCTCGCTCTGTCTCTCTCGCACCCATACGGGACAGCTGCTTGAGTGCGAGAGAGACAGAGCGACGAAAGCGACTCTCAGTCTGCTGCATTTGGAAACGAGAGCGATGCGTCCTCAGGTGACACTGTGACACTACACTGCCGACACCACTGCCTCCGTTTGTGTCACGCTTTCTGGGAAGGCGGGGGCGGGGAAGAGAGGAGGGTAGGGGAGGGGGCGGCTCGGGCTGGGGAGAGAGAGGGGGGAGGGGAGGGAGAGAGGGGAGGGGGCGGCGCCGTCAGCTGAGCAGCTCCGCGCAGTCAGTGCTCCGCCGCGCGCCCATCCAGTCGTCCGCAGCCGCCCGCGCTGGCCGCGTGTCGTTGTTGTTGTTTACGGTGCCCGACATTGCGAGTAGTGTTGTGTGCGGTGATCCGAGCCACAATGTAAGTATACTTACATGGAGCCACCAGCGGAGCGGAGTGCTTGTAATTTGGGAAGCCGCCGGCACACTAGCCGCGTTGGCACACTGCTGCGCCTTCTTCCGGACGCGTGGTCCGGACCGTACCTCCAGACTTCCAGTGGCCCGGCCTGGCTCCGCCATCGATTTGGGAGCGGCTCGGTGAAGTTTTGTGGGCTGGTGGAACCAGCAGGTTGAATCGTCGCCGCCTCTCTCTTCCTTACGGGGCGCCCCGTGAGTGCGAGAAGGACAGGGCGACGAGGCACAGGGCCTCCAGGCCGGCCGGTGGGGAGACGGGCTCGGTCTATGGCCCTTCGACAGTGCAGGGCCTGACAGCGCGGCCTCTCGGGCTTGGCGGCGCGGCCCGCAGGCCCGCACAGGGCCTCGGTCTATGGCCCTTGACCTCAAGACCAAGCTCCGCGCGTTGACCCTTTTTGACGCCCATTGCACCAGGGACCACATTCCTAACCTCGGTACGATCATCCGACGTGCATTTCAGACGTTAAAAAGAAAACAAAATTCAAATATCGTGCTACTTTTTCATCGTTTTTCGTGGAATCGAACTTCCAACCCACGTTTCTCATTCAGAAAGCGCCCAGTTCTGTCCCCGAGTTGTGAAAACAGTAAACCAAATAACGCTCTATTATGGTCAATTTTCCGGAGAACCTCACATAACCGGAAGTTGGAAATATTAAAGGTGTCCCACTGTACCCCACCTTCCCTTACACTGTAAACGGCGAGCATTGCGCTGCTTGCGCCGCGGTTGCCTGCCTACCGCCCACGCGATGGTCATGACCTCGGCGGCCCGGCTCGGCCTGGCTCGGCACGCCCCCTCCGCGCGTTAGAGCCCGTCAAACGGCAGGCCAATCTTATTTTAACGCGTGGCCCGACCGGCCTGACCAAGTATGAAAACGTGTGACCCACGCGACCTGTGCCCTTTTATCATGGACCAGCTGGGCCAAATCTCCTTTAAGTCTGGTCGGCGCGGTCTGCCGCTAGACCTGCACACCCGACAGGCCCTGGATTCCTCGTTCGGAGAGCAATCCATTGGTGGGGTCACACGTTCTGTTCGAGTCCCATTTAGCGACTCTGGAGCTCAAAACGCGTCCGGAACTTTGACCGCCTGCACCGGTTCTCTGGCCCACTGTGCGTCGTCATCCGGGCGAGGCGAGGTTAGAGAGGTTGGAGAGCGCGTCGCGGGGCAAGGTGACATAGGCATCCGAGTTCCAAGTCCTTGCAAGTGCACATGTGCCCCGCAGCAGCCTGCCTGCCGCTGCCTGCCTGGCACGATGCTGCATTCCTGTACAGTCCGAGCAGACAGTGCACTCGGCTCTCCTGGCTCCCCTAGTCTCCTGGCCTGGCCTCCCTAGTCAGGCCAGCGAGCGTGGTCGGACAGTGGGCCAGAAGACCGGTGGAGGCGGCCAAAACTCTAGACGCGTTTTGAGCTCCAGAGTCGCTAATCAGGACTCGAACCAAACGTGTAACCCCACCAATGGCTTCCTCGTTCGGAGAGCAGTCCATTGGTGGGGTCCACGTTCGGTTCGAGCACCTTTTAGCGACTCTGGAGCTCAAAACGCGTGTAGAGTTTTGGCCGCCTCCACCGGTCTTCTGGCCCACTGTGGGCCGGTCAGCCTGCGAGGTAGGCCGCCGCGCCGGACTGCCGCGCAGTCCCCCCGCCACGCCGCGTCGCGTCGCGTGGTCCGCGGTCCGTCCGAGGCCCTGTGCGGGCCTGCGGGTCGCGCCGCCAAGCCCGAGAGGCCGCGCTGTCAAGCCCTGCACTGTCGAAGCGAAGCGGGGCCCCGCCCTTCCCTTCCCGCCCCGCCACGCCAGGCTAATTTCCTTGTTATTCCACCTTTGGGCGGCCGCGCTGTTATCTCGCCGACTTTCTGAGCAATCGCGGGTCTCTCTCTCTCTTTCTCTCTCACCGCGCGGCCCCTCAAAACTGTACTCGCGGCTGCTCGGTACAGTGCCCTGCCGTCGGCCCTCGGAGCCCTCGGCCCTGCCGCGTCGCGCAGCCTCCTTGCCTGTGCGGTTGGCTGGTTGGCCAGGCATGCATGCGGTCTGGCTCTGGCGGCGGGGCGGGCCACGGCTCACAGAACGGCGCTTGGCTCGGCAACGGAACGCCTTCGCCTTCACGCACA